ACTATAGTAAGCTTGTTCCTTGAAGATTACTGAGCTCCTACACATGCCTCAAGACCCAGATTCCAGGAACTCTCCCACTTTGTCCCTAGGCAGGCTGAGCTCTGCTCTCTCTGTGCCTGCGTCCTCCTTGCAGCTCCATGTTGGGCATACGGCCAATCGTGTGGTTCCCTGATGGCTTCATCACCATCTGAGGTCACAATGATCTCCATGGTAACCCCCTTGGAGAGCTGGGGAGGCCGCCCTTCCCCTCCCCCCACCCCACGATTCCCCCAAGCAACAGCTCACTGAGCTTACTCACTGATTCTGCAGCTCGGCTCTGTGCTGCTGGGCCTTCAGCTCACACCAGAGGGCTTCTGGAGCTTTCTGACGCGATGAGAGAGGTTGGGAACTGAGGCTGGTGGGAAGGACATATGTGGTGGGTGGACTGGGACCCTTCCAGGACTCGGGATTGAAACGACTTTCTGCCTATTGCAAGTTGTCTGCCAATGTGGACACTCCAGCCTGCACTTGACCCATTAGCATCATGGAACCTTTCTTTGCAGGTCATACACTGGTACAAGACTTCACTTCTGATGAAGCCAGTTCAGGCTGCCCCTTGGGGTGGGCGCTGGGCACAGGAGCAGGAACGCACTTGCACTGCAGTTGACTTGAGGATGTGTATGTGGCTTCGTTTCAGCTCCACCTGCTGAGTGCCCTATCTCTTGAGAGCCTCAGCCATCCCATCCCTCACTGCCCTGAGCTCCCCACTGGGCCCCCCTGGGGCGAGGCTGATCCACTGCATGTGTGCACCTGCTGTGTAACAAATCATCCCCCAAATGCAAACAGAGCCTGTCATAAGCGGCCGTGTTGCCTGGGCTCCTGAGCAGAACAGGATCTGAGCAGAACACTCACATCAGAATTCAGTTCTGCATGAAGCCCCCTTGGTCAGGAGCCCCTCTCGCCAAATGGGGCTCCCCAAAGGCGGCTTGCAACAGGCAGTCGGCCTCTGCCAGAGCCAGTGGACCAAGAAGAGGGCGTGAGTGCCCACAAGGCACATGTCAGTTCCTTGGGCCATTTGGGAGGTGACATTCCATGTTAGTCAGAAATAAGTCACTCTTAAGGGGAAGAAATTTTAATGGAACAGCAGCAGAGTGCCCAGGGAGCCTCTCCCGACCACCTGCTGGCCCCGTGCAAAACCCATTTACCCTCTCCAAAGTGTTACTCTGGCCACTGCCTGGTTCACGCTCCAAAATCAGGCCACAGACACCAGGCCCTGGCTCAATGGGGCCTGTGAAGTCCAATGATCTTTCCAGAGCTTGTCTAGTAAGCGATGCCAAGACAGGCACAGCACACACACACACACACACACACACACACAGTCACTGGACCACAGCTGTTATGGGGTCCAGCCAGTGGGAGAGCAGGTGCTGGACTGACTGCCCCCAGGGCTGCAGTCATTGGCTGACACAACTCTCAGCCCCGGCCCCCACAGGCTCTTGCTCCTACCCTCTGGGATTCTCATTTTTCCAAACCTTCTGTGGCCCAATGTGCTCTTTGCCCTTTGTGCTGTCACTGCCAGCCCAGCTGACAGTCCTATTGACTCAAGTGTGTTTCCAGACACACCTTTACATCCCTGGGTTCATGCCAAAGGATATACCTTTAAGCTTCCTGGAGGCTTGTCCCGAGTCTTTTTTTTTTTTTTTAATCTATATTTGTTGGAAAGGCAGATCGGATTTACAGAGAGAAGGAGAGACAGATTTTTCATTATCAATCTCCGAATGGCTGCAATAGTTGGAGCTGAGCTGATCTAAATCCAGGAGCCAGGAGCTGCTTCTGGGTCTCTTATATGGGTGCAATGGCCCAAGGCTTTAAGCCATCCTCCATTGCTTTCCAAGGCCATAAGCAGAAAACTCAATTGGAAATTGAGCAGCCAGGATATGAACTGGTATCCATATGGGATCCTGGCCCTTGCCTGAATCTTCACAGAGGACACTGATCCTCAGTTAAAAAAAAAGAAAGGAAAGAAAGAAAAGAAAAAAGAAAATGGAGTATCCAGGACATGAACCAGAGACTATATGGGATGTTGGCATTTGCAAGGGAAGAATTAGCCAATTCAACCATTGCACGGGCCCAAGATGTATTCATTTACTTGAGAATCAGTTTTCAGAGAGAAAAAGTCTTCCCCCTACTGGTTCACTCCCAGGTTGGCTGCAACAACCAAGGCTGTTCTGGTTGGAGACCAGGAGCCAGGAGCTCTAAGTCTTCCACATGGGTTCAGGGTCCCAAGGTTTTGGGCCATCCTCTGTTGTTTTTCCAGGCCATAAGTAGGGAGCTGGGAAATGGAGCAGCTGAGACTTGACCCGACACTCATCTGGGATGCTGGCACCTCAGTGGTGGCTTCACTTTCTATGGCATTGCACCTGGATATCACCCTTCCATGGAGGGTAGATTGGCTGTGTCTCCTGGCTCAGGATCCCCCACAGGGTTGCCTGGGATTTGCTCTCAGGAAGCAGGAGGGGAACCCACTCCCAAGTGTCTAAAGGTGGTATAATTCATGCATGTTTCCATGGACTGTTGGCCATGGGACCTCTGCTCCTTAGATGCTCGGGGGCCCTTGTTACATAGGCTTTTCTGTGGGATGGCTCAAAACATGGCAACCAGTGATGTCATATGTCGAGCCTTCACTGTCACTCCAGGGTCCTACTGCCCAGGAAGACCAGAATTCTAACATAGGGGGTGGAGCCTTAGCAGGCCCGAAGCCGTCTTGGATTCTGATGACATCCCCCAACTTGGAGCTTACTATACATCTGCACATGGCTTGTTCCACTTCCCGTTTCCAGATGAGATAGGTGTGTCCTCGAAAGTTGGGTAAAGAGATAACAGTGCCTTGCAGGGCTGCAAGAATGGCAGCTTGCCTAGGTCTAACCAGCTACCTGCCTGCTCACACCAGCAAACCCAGGAAGGGAACAGGTCACAGGTTCACCCAGGGTAACAAGGCTGCATCTGGGCAGATAAGTGTCCCAAGATGAGTGGTCCATTGGGTTGTGTCAGAAGTGGCACAATCATCAGTTATTAAATGTCCCATCCAACAGAGAGCTCTGCTGGGTGTGCTGTCATGAGAAGGAGACTGATCTAGCCTCCCCATCCCCCATGGGACTATAGACAAGTCACTGCTGTGCACCCTGCTCCCCATCTCCAGGCCTCATCAAACCCTCAGTTCTGCCCTCTTCCTCCTGTCCCTCCCTTGTTCCAAAAGACACTCATCTTGTGGAGACACTTGGGCCCTGAGCCATGGCAGCCTGGGCTCACACTGCAGCATGCTCTTGTCCCTAGCTCCTTCCCTGTTTGTTAAGCTGCTTCTCTTCCTCCACCACTGGGCAATGCACCCTGGAGCCAGGGACCAGCTGGGGCAGTTCTAGTTGGAGGAGAGGATAAGGAGACAAGAGGAGAATGAGGGGAGCCCAGAGTCCCAAGGCCATGTCTGAGCGCATGAGGGTACCTTCTGCACAGAGCCGGGCAGCTGGCCGCAGATCAATCCTCCCCACACCCACCCCTGTTCCCCCTCCTGGTTCCTCTCCCTTCCTCCACCCCTAGCAGAGCTCCAGGTTCATCTTCCCACATGGGGCTCTGTGCGTCATCTGAGATGGTGAGCATGCTGTTTTGTCCACAGGACTGAGCTGGAATTGCCTGTCTGGAGCAAGAGTTCATGGAGCTGGGCCGCCAAGCAGGTAGGGATGGACCAGGGATCATATACGCTCATTGTGGGGCAGGACAGACTTGGGGGTGGGGGGCCTGGTTGCTGCACAGAGAGTGTGGTGTGGCCCGGGGAGGGAAGGGAGCTGGCTGTACTGCAAGAGTAGGGGAGGATTTTAGTGCTAGAACACTGGATCAGATCTCCTTTGAGAAGGTCCCAGGGCCAAGAGGAGGGTAGCTGGGGCTGGATAGTGGGGCAGGGAGGTGTGGTTCAGTGGGGCCGAAGCACATTCCCACTGCAAGTTCCCTCCAGGGACCCCAGTAGCCCATGGGCCAGTTCAATGCTCAGATCCCAGCCTCTGGCGGCAGCTCTGGGGGGCCCAGGAATCTACATTATTAATGAGCACTCCAGTAACTGATACATGACCATGTCTTGACAACTCCGCAGCCTGGCTCACATTTAAGGCTTCCAGATGCAAGGGCAGCAGGGTTGCAATGAGATGCGCGAAGTGCCAGCTGCAAACCTTCATGCATTTGTTCATGCATTCATTCATTCAACAAGCATTCTTCCTTGAGAGTACAGGAGACAATTGCTTCTGCTTGCTTGTCACATATGTGACACCCAGCACACAGTAGGTGCCTTTTCAGGAGATCAGAGATAATCCTGGCTATTTTAACAGCTTGGGACCCTAACCACCCTGGCAAAGGGTGGGGAGAAGAAATCTCCCAAAGACATCACCCAGTGATGGCAGAGTAAGGTGACAGGCTAGAGATATCTGAGCTGACAGCAGCAGCCTTCTCTGAGAAAGGCCCCTGGGGCAGGGGGCAGTGCCCCAGCAGGGCAGTGGCTGGGCCTGCAGGGGCTGGAAGGCTATGGAAGCCCAGTTGCTCCTGACACTTGACTGTCAGCTATAGTAACTCATGACCAAATGTCGGGCGCCTGCGCAGTGAGAATCTCTGACTGAGTAGTCCCAGATACGCTGGTCTCTGAACTGAGAGAAGACATGACTAGATTGCAAGTTAAGTCTTCTAGCTCCCTGGGTTGGCATACACAGCTGGTACCAGAAGAAGGAGAAGTAGGGGTCTTAGGATTCAAATTCAGTGTTTTCTTGGGCAGGCCTCTACTTGCCCTCTCATTAGTTAATTGTCCTCCTCTGTGCACCAACCCAGGTGGGCAAGGCACCCTGGCAAGAGTTGGGGGACGTCCAAGTGAGCGTGTGAGCACCCCACTCAGTGACCCTCAACTAGGAGTGGGAAGCAGGTGGCTGGGGGAGCGGGATGGAGAGAAGCAAGATTGGGAAAATCTGTGGCCAGGAGCGGTGTGGAGCATGTTGGAAGAGGGAGGTGGGCCAGCAGGTAGAGGAGGGGGCCCTAAGCACAGACAGGTGGAGTGCCCTGATCTAGGTCACAGAGCCAGGCCAAAGGGCAAAGCATGAGAGACCACCAGGTGTCATAGCAGACCTGCAGGCTAATGTCACCTTCCCCTGTGTACCTTTGTTTCTTCCCCCATGCCTCCCCTCCTGCACCTGTCTTGTTCTCTGTCTCTCCCTCTCCTCCCTGCTCCCTCCCTCACGGTCAGGTACAACCAATCTGGTCCATGATAACAGCGCCCAGGAGGGCGGGCAGGATGCGGAGCCCTGGAGAACTTCCTGCAGCTCTCCGGACATTTCCAAGTTCAAGCAGCAAGCTCCAAGTTCCAGAGGCAGCACCTACCTTGGACGGGGCCCCGTGGAGGAGATACGGCCCCCACCCCCGACTCCCGCTAGCAGAGACTCTCTGGGGAAGAAAGGGGGGTTCAGTGCCTCTTCCAAAGAGAATGGGGTCTCCTTCCAAGCAGGGACACTGCAGCAACAGGAAGACCCCAGCTCCAAGTCTCAGGACCAGAAGGGCAGCGTCATTCCCAACAATATCCGCCACAAGTTTGGAAGCTCCGTGGTGCAGGAGCTGGTCTCAGAGGAGCAGGTGGCAGGGCAGGGCCCTGGCGGGGGTGAGGGGTGGGCAGGGGCCGCTGAAGGTGATGTGGGAGGATCCTTGACAAGGAGGACACTGAGGTCTCCATAGCAACATCATCAGAAAGTGGCCCTAACTGGACACCTCCTACTTGCCAGGCCATGTGCTTTGTGCAACATACATTATTCACATTATCTTCCCTCCCCTCCCCCAATCAGGATGTACTATCATTGTCCCCACCTGGTAGATAAGGTGCCCAAAGTTTAGAGGGCCAGTCGGTGGGATGAGGATCCCAGCCAAGCTAGCAGCTCTTCCAAGCTCTGGCCCTAACCCACCTCACACTTGCAAACCTTCTGTTTGAATGGGATATTTACCACTCTCACACTCCCCTGCAGAGAGACAGGGACCAACTAGATGCTGCTTGCCACAGTCTACAAGAGGGGAAACAGGTCCTCTGACTCACCCTAGTCGGCAACTGACAAATGGTAGATTTGGGACATGAGCCAGGTCTCCTGCTGTCTACCTGGGCTCAGCTTCTCCTGGCCTTAGTTCCCCTCATTGCCCCCAGGAAGGAGTTGGCCTCCCAGGGAATGCTGAGGACCCACCTGAGGCTAACTAGGGTGAGGCTCAGGCTGCAGGGGGCCCAGTGGGATCTGGGGCTTCTCAGCTGTGCGAACTGGGCCACCTGCCCAACCCTGCCCAAAAGACCTGGTTTCTCACCTATGAAATGGCGCATTGAGTGTCGCCCTCTAGAGACCACTCTTGATGTTGCACATAGTAGTTGCCGTATTGTGGGAGGATGCTACATCCCTTGAGACCCCTAGCCCCTCCAGGAGAAAGAGGGCATGAGAAGCAGAGCCTTCAGCTATGACAGCTTCCTAGCCCAGGGGGATTGGCTGGAAGCCCCCCTGGGGGCTAAGCTTGGTGAGAGGTAAGGCTGAGTCCGTGGGAGGAGGGGTTGGAAAGCAGGTGGAAATGTGGGAGAGGGGGGCCTCGCAGCTGCCTTCCATCCTGTGCTCCTCTTGCCGCCCTCTGACACAGGCTCAGAAGGCCATTGATGCAGTCTTGGAGGACCAGAAGCGGGCGAGCTCGTGGCCTAGCCAGACCCAGAGCCCTGTGGAGATCTCGTCCATCTTCTCAGACTACTACGATCTGGGCTACAACATGCGGGCCAACTTGTTTCAAGGTCAGGCTGAGGGCACGGCTGAGGGGTGTGAACACCCATGGTTCCCATTGCTTTGGGCAGGGAGGCTTTGGGTGTGATCCCCTTCTGGTCTAGGGTCCCAGACCCTCATGTCACACCTAGCGAGGGTGTAGTGCTCCTGGGGCCAGCTCCTGTGCTGGGCAGGGATCGGAAGCATCAGTCCCCAGCAAGTCTGGGAATCTTACATACCAGCAGGAGGCCACCCTCGCCCAGACGTGTGTGGGCTCAGAAGCAGTGCCACGTTCCTGGGGTTGTAAGCTCATCTCAGATGTTCCCTGGCCAGGGGAGGCCCACAGAAGGGTCCCATCATTTCTGTGACCGCAGTGCCCCCTCTGCTCCCTGGGCACTCCCTGGGATGACACTGGCAGTGTGGGCTGTATTGGGAGGACAGGTGGCAGGTGCTCAGTGGCATTCGTCCTCTCATTGTCTTTCCTGGAGCTGGAGGAGTGTCCTAATACGAAAGAGAAGAGTGGGCTTAGGGCTTGGTCAGAGGGGTTTCCCTGGGATAGGGGTGCTGCTGTCTGCCATTGCATGGGCAGATTTAAGGTCAGTGGCTCATGACAGGTGTTGGCCCCAGAGCCTTTGATGGGTACCATTGCCCTCCCTGCTGTGATCCCACTCTGACACCATATCGTCAGGGCGCCTTGGTGCAGAGGTCTGCTTCTTCTGGCCCTTCCCGGGGCTCTCAGAGCCTAGCGCACTGGGCCTCCTCCTGGCGCAGGTCCCCATTGTCCAGGGAATCAGACACCCACTGGAAGCTTTGGGTCTTTCCTTGGAGCTTGAAGAAGGGGTGGAACATGATTTACAGTGTGCCCTGCGTGGGGCCCTAGGAATCCCACCTTCCAGCTCTCAGCTTACACAGATTCACATTTTGCCTACATAAAAATAATATTTTATCTGGCCTCGGCATTGGAGTTTGGAAACGGACAGGTGCTTGGAATAAGGACTGTGCCCTTCTCTGTGTCCTACCCACACATTCTTCTCTAGCCCATGGGCTCCAGGCTCAGCCCTTGCACTTATTGTTGAGGTTTGGAGGGTGCCTGGGGTTGGGCTGGGGCTTGGATGGCTGCCCAGAAAGTCAGAGGTAGGCCAGGTAGGAGGCCCTCTCTTAGAGGGAGGGAGGAGCAGAAGAATGACCTTGTTTGACTTTGGTGAGTAGGCCACTCCTATTGCTGTATGGAGAACAGGTGCAGGGGAGCCGGAGCACCAATGGCAGACCAGTGCAGACGGTGGCAACATATCCAGGTGGGCCAGGCTGGGGTAGTTTGGTCTAGGGAGCTGGGCTGGAGCCCCAGGCCATTTTGGGAGGCACCCTGGTACACTATGGCAACTAAGAGAGTTGATGGAGAAGGTGGCCTGGGAGTTTGTGTGAGGTAGATGCATATGCTAGTGAGTGGGTGTGGCGTGTACAGGAGACATGATGCCGTTGGTTTCCAGGTATTTTTGACCTGAACAACTGGAAGGATGGATTTGCTATTCACTTGTTCCTAGATTAGTTTCCAGAAGGAACAGGTTGATGAATTCCACTCCCATGCTGAGTCATAGAGGTAATCTCTTGCGTAAGTGTCCTAAAACACTTAGCTTTATTTTTCAGCTTTAATCCGTGTGGGGTTGATTTCTGTTTATAGTGCATAGTAGACACTCACCTGAGAGTTGATTGGCTCAGTGCCTTCCACTGAGTGGCTCCCCCTTCTCTGGAACAGGCTGTGGCGCCTCGCTGTCCAATGCATACCCCTGGCATGTGAATTGGTTGTCGGGTTCCCTGTCCTGTGCACTGCTCTAACACTGTTGCAGGGAATTCAACACAAAACATGCTAGCAACCTCATTTCTTGTCTCACATGAAAGAATTTTCACGTGGACAACACCAGTTGGCAAAGCAAGATTTAGTTAAAGACAAGAGGAAACGTGGCTCCTGCCCTCGCGGTAGGAGGGTGCTCCAAGGGAGGAAAGACCTGAGGAAATGGCGAAGATGGTGTCTTATGCGCCATCTCAGGGAGGGGGGTTCACATGAGTCACCCCAACGGCCGAAGGAAGGAACAAAAAGCTTATTCACAATGGGTAGTAATGTTTATACCTCCCCCAGAAACAAGGGTGAGCCTTGTGGTGTCCTACCCTGAAGAGAAGCTGAAAGCTGAAGTACCATTGCTTTGACCATGACCCAGAGATGAGGTTAGTGTGGGCCATGCCTCCTTGCTTTTGTTATGGCAACGGCTATAGGAGATGCAGACTGATGTGTTGATTCTGTCCTCCTCCAGGAAGGGAATGGAAATAGGGGGAAACCCCATTTTTTTATGTTTTAAAGGATAATTTTACCAAGAAGCACAATTTTATATTTTAAAGGTAACTTCACCAGGGACCAGAGACCCTAATTGTCTATTATTGTGTCTGACTCCTCACACATTCCCTCCCCCAGAAGAAGGAACCCTAACTGCTGTTAGGGGTCTTGGGGCGACAACTGCTCTAGCTGCTCTGTGCTAAAAGGGCATTATTGGGTAACAACAGTGGTGGAGGGTCCTTCGGGAGCGATCTAGAGGTCCCCAGTAGAACGCAGACGTCATCAGAGGTGTCCAGAGTGCTGTTTGGGCTCCGAGTGCTTCTTGTTGAAGTCTAGAGAACAAAACAGGATGGGTATAACTGCTCCCGACCTAGCATGTCGTGGGTTAGTTGGCATCTTAACTGCCAAGCTGATGGAAGTATCATCTGAATCTGATTGGACAATGAGTCTCCTCCTTCTTCTGTTCCATTTCTAGATTCTTCATTTTTCTTTTCTTTTTTTTTCTGTAAGATTTATTATTTATTTTTATTGGAAAGTTAGATATACAGAGAGGAGGAGCAACAGAAAGATCTTCTGTCTGCTGATTAACTCCCCAAGTGGCTGCAATGGCTGGAGCTTAGCCAATCCAAAGCCAGGAGCCCTGAGCTTCTTCTGGTCTCCCACGCAGGTGCAGGGTCCCAAGACTTTGGGCTGTCTTCGACTGCTTTCCCAGGCCAGAAGCAGGGAGCTGAATGGGAAGCAGAGCAGCCGGGATTAGAACCGGTGCCCATATGGGATTCTGCTAGGCTACTGCGCCAGGCCTGGTTCTTCATTTTTCTGTTTCAACTTGAGAATAGCTTGTCATTTTCTGTGAAAACCCATATTGAGATCTAATCAGAGACACCAGCCCCCTGACTCAGGGTAGGGCGTGGTCAGCTTGGGCAGATAACATTTTCCGATCCACAAATGTGCTAAACCGTGCCACCCACTTTCATCTTTCTTCAGTAGCTGTCACCATTAAGTCATTTCTGTCTAAAATCATGTAAGGTGTTTTTTTTTAAACAGTCCTTTGGACTCCTCACCCCTTTTTGGTGTCTATTTTGGCTGCCTATTTCAAGTGATCACTTCTTAAAGAAGTGACTGTCTAACCTCTGCTGCTGGTGGACAAGGTGCGATTGTGATTCTCATGTTCTCAGCTTCTGCTCTGAAGCTATGCCCAGTTCAGCCACTAATTCCACCAGTGTCTCATCCGTTGCAGCTTCTTAGGAATGATGAGCAGTAGCATGTGTTTTTTTTTTAACCCAAGAATTATTTATTTGAAAGGTAAAGTGACGAGAGAGAGAGAGAGAGAGAGAGAGAGAAGGAGAGAGAGAGAATACACTTAACCTTCCATTCACTGATTCGCTTCCCAAGTGGCCACAACAGCCAGGTCTGGGCCAGGCCAAAGCCAGAAACCAAGACTCTGCCTGCAGCTGCCAACATGGGAAGCAGACGCGAGAGCCCTTGGAGCATCTTCTTCTATTGCCTTCTGGCACATTAGCAGGGAGCCAGATCAGAAGCAGAGCAGCTGGGACTTGAACCATGTCATGTGGTTCTGTTACCTTTGAAATTGCCTTTCAGGGCTTTATTTTATTTTTTTTTTAATTTAAGATTTATTTATTTTTATTGCCAAGTCAGATATACAGAGAGGAGGAGAGACAGAGAAGATCTTCTGTCTGATGATTCATTCCCAAGCTGAGCTGATCCGAAGCCAGGATCCCGGAGCTTCTGGGTCTTCTATGCAGGCACACGGTCCCAAGGCTTTGGGCCAGCGTTGACTGCTTTCCCAGGCCACAAGCAGAGAATTGAATGGGAAGAGTCGGTTCTAATCCTGGCTGTCCAGATGGGGTCCTGGGGCATGCAAGGTGAGGACTTTTGCTGCTAGGTTACTGTGCTGGGCCCTCAATGTTTTATTTGTATGCAAACAGTGAACTAATCCAAATTCAACTTTGTCATTTCACTCTTCGAATTCACACATTCACATGGAGACCTAAGTTTAGGACAGAGGCCATGGAGTTTATTTACTTTATGGTCCCGGGAGAACAATGAAGGAGAAGCCGTTGTCTTCCGGGGGAGGGTGTGGCAGCAGAGCAGTGCCCGGCTCGGGGTCTCCTCGGGTGGAACACCTGAGACAGGGATTCGTTCCTCAGTGAGCTAGTTGGCAGCAATTTGCCTGCTCAGCTGAGCCCCTTTTTACACCCGCTGGGGCTCCGTCTCTTCTTCAGCTTTGCATGTGTCTCCCCCTTTCAGACTGGGGAGGGATCTGAAATTATTTTGTTTCACACACCTTGCAAGCCGGTCTTAGTTCACAAACGCGTCCTGACACGCCTCTTGGCACTAAGTTACACACAATCACATTTCAGGGGCTCGTGTTTCACACATTTCACACACAGCTGACACATTATACCAGCTAATATTCCAGACATGTCACGGTGTGAGGAGCCGGGGTATGTAGAAAAATGTTTTAAACAAGTTTTGGTTATTATGCTTATCTACAACCTAGCACCTGTATGTGGGATGCCAACATGGCAGGTGATTGCTTAAAACACTGCACCACAGTGCCAGCCCCCGACATAAATTTTCAAAAGTAGCTTTGTGCCAAGCTCCATTGCTGACATGGCTCCCGTGAAGCCCCTGAAATTGGACTGACAGGAGAAGGGGCAGGTGAGTCCTGCTTCTGTTTTGGGAAGGGGCGAACAAGCACATAGGAAACTCAGTGACCAGGGTCAGATACAATTCTTACGCTGACCTGGCCCATCTCCCGCGACCTGGCTGCATGACAGCCTGATGCCCAAGGGAGTGGGTTCTTGGCGGGGTTTAGACCCCTGGGTGACACTACTTCCCAGAGAACTGCTCCTTGGGTTATCTTGACCCCCAAGCACTGTGAGAGCCAGGGCACCAGTCCAGAGCTCTGATTCAGCATTCTGTTATATTATAAGCATTCAGAGCTGTAAACAGGGGACTCCAACAACACTTTCATAACAGGATTTTTCAGGGCTAACATGAAGGTGTACCAGGTTAAGCTATTGCCTGTGGTACTGGCATCCCATATTAGTCCTAGCTCCCTGCTAACGTGCCTGGGAAAGTAGCGGAATATGGCTTTCTTGGCTCAAGTGTTTGGGTCCTTGCTCCCACAGAAAAATCTTCTGGCTTCAGCTTGGCCCAGCCCTGATTATTGTTGCCATTTGGAGAGCGAACCAATGGATAGATTTCTTAGTGGGCCTGGTGTGGTAGCCTAGCAGCTAAAGTCCTCGCCTTGCACACGGCAGGATCCCATATGGGTGCTGTTTCGCATCCCAGCTGCTCCCTGCCTATGGCTTGGGAAAGTAGTCGAGGACTGTTCCACAATGCACTACCCACTGGGACTCCCAGGCAGCTTCCCTGGCCTTGGCCTCTGCTGACTTGGTACGTATGGGGGTCTTCTGCAGGGGCCCCCCAGGAGACAAAGAGCCTCATGAAGGCTTCCTACACACCGGAAGTGATTGAGAGATCCGTGAGGGACATGGAACACTGGCATGGCCGGAAGACGGACGATTTGGGTAGGTGGGGAGCTGGCGCCAAGTGGGTGGGCAGAACAGGAGCCCGAGGCTGCAGTGGACTTGGATTTGGGACTGGGCACCGCCAGGGCCCGGGCAATCTAACGTTGTTGGTCATCCTCGCTGGCTCCTCTCCCACTCTCTGTAGGACGGTGGCACCAGAAAAATGCTATGAACATGAACTTGCTGAAGGCTCTGGAAGAGAAATATGGAGAAAAGAGCAAGTCCAGGGGCTCCAAGTACTAGCACTGATACAGAGGAGGCCCCTTGCTGCGGCTCCAAGAGTTTGCAATAAAGAGAGGCATACACTTCAGCCCGTCTCCTGTGCCTCGCGACTCTTTCCATGGGAAGGGGAAAGGAGACGAGGTTGAGAGGACAGTTAAGTCAGTCGGACCTCCCTCTGCATGAGCACACACACACATGCACACATATGTACACACATGCACGCTCACACAATGGCACCTGCACATACAAGGACATGCACACACAGCCCCACGCACCTTCCCCCTCAATAGCAGGAAGGCATGTAGCTGTGGAGTGGGGCTTTGCCCAAGCCCCGTGTGCTTTTTGCTTCTCCCCCAGGCCCCGTGGAGCGGAGTCCCGGGTGTGCACTGCTGGCACTTATCAACGTGCCTGGCCTAGAAGCCCCATTACACACAGCAGCCACTCCTCCCCTGCGAGTCAACAGCCTTCAGAAGAGTGGATCATATAGTCCCCACCCATTCAGGAGTGGGTTTGGTGGATGGGTCTTCTGTCATTCTCATGCCTCCTCCACTCCTCCACAAAGTGATTAACTCAGAAGCGGGCATGTGACTTGATTTGGATCAATAAGACGCAAAGAGGGGAGTGGGATGAGTGGGTGTGGGTGGGTGAGATTGTCTTCTATGGGCTGTTGAGGCTTGTGGGGAGGGTGTGTGCCTCTCTCTGAGAACTGGATGGGGACCCCATGCAACTCAGGCTGTTCCCTGGAGATGTCCACTCAGGGTCACTGACTGGCACCTGCGGGTCATGCTCCACCCATGGGAAGTCACTGTGAACTGTGTTCCAAACCAGGCCCAAATCTAGAGGCTTAAAATGACAGGAGCATTGGGGCTGGCATGATAACTCAACGGACTAATCCTCTGCCTACCAGTGTCAACATCCCATAGGGACAGTGGCTTGAATCCCAGGTGTTCCATTGCCCATCCAGCTCCCTATGGCATGGGAATCAGTGGAGGATGGCTCAAAGTCTTTGAGCCCTACACCCAAGTGGGAGGCCTGGAAGAAACTCCTGGCTCCTGGCATCAGATCGGCTCAGCTCTGGCCATTGCAGCTTTGGCTCACCAGCACCTGCTGTGAAGGTAGCTGACCCACGTGTGCACCTCTGCCATGGGGACCACAGCTGGCCTGAGGCAGAGCTGGAGCCAGCTGAGCAGTGCCCTTTCTCCATGAGACCTCTCCTTGCAGCTTGGGCTTCTGGGCGTGGACCTGAGCTCTCCTTCCGTGGAGACAAAATCCAGTGTTCAGGAGGTTATCACATCCAGGCTGGGTCTGCCCTCATTGCCAAAGAGACATGGGGTCAAGCCCAGTTGTTTTACAGGAAAACACAAGGATGTGGCTGCAGTTGGCAGCAGCTCTCTGGAGACCATCCGAATCATGATGCTACAGCAAGCATTGGGCAGAGTAGGAAAACCATAAAGTAAAAGGAAGAATCAAAGTGAAGCTAGGAGCTTTATCTGGGTCTCCTCCCACATGGGTGAAGGGTCCCAAGGACTTGGCTCATCCTCCACTGCTTTCCCAGGCCATATGTGGGGAGCTGGTTCAGGAAGTGGAGCAGCTGGACTTGAACAACTGTCCCTGTGGGATGCTGGAGTTGCAGGTGGGGCTTTACCAAGTATGCCACAAAATTAGCCCCCTCATCCCCTTTAGAAAGGGAAGCTGAGGCTCAGTGAGGGACAAGGCCTGGCAGTGTGCCACAGCCGTGGGAGTGGCTGTCTGCAGAATGGACCCTCAGTGGATGGGAGACACGTTGTAGAGGCCGCCCCATCACCCACGATGGAGACAGTGTGCTGACGAGGGTGCGGGGAGGCCAGCTGTGGTGGTGCTTCCAGAAGCCCATACCCTCCTCTCACATTCAGCTTTGAGCATCCCAGAGGCAACTTAAAGGAGAGAATTGCCAAATGCCTTCCGATGACAGCACGGGACACAGCACGTTTAAAGCTGGGTGAGCTGTTTCCACCTGACGTCAGGGAGCCAGGGGGCAAGGCTTTATGATGTTGTCTCAAAGACCCCATATCAGAGTGCCAGGAGCAATTTGGAGATTAATCTGGGGCATTTTGCAAACAGAAAGACTGCTGTTGTGGCAAAGTCACTAAAACAGGCATAGGGTATTTTTCCCCCAGCTGGAGAAAGACTGCCTCTCACTGGCACTGTTTCTATAGCACCTCCATAAAACCCCCTGTTCTTGTTTCTGACAGTCCTAAGTGGGTGGGAGGGGTCCCCATCGAAGACTGAGCTTTGTAGAGGTACAGGGAACTGGTTTTAAGTAGCATTAACTCACATAGTGCAAAACTTAACATATGCTGTGATTCATGCCAATTTGTGTCTCCCTACCTTCATAACAGCTGCCATAGCCAAATGCCACCGCAGGGGGCGGCAATAGAAGTGAGACGCTGTTGGACTGGTTCTGATGGCTGGAATCCCAGTCCAGCTTGACCCCTGGTGGCAGGGCTTCTAAATTGCAGGTTCAGAGTTTAGGCATCATCTAGGCATGATGTACACAGTGAGATGGGGGTACCTGGAGGCTCCCGAGGTGGAACCTGGAGGTTCTGGAGGGACTTCTCTCCAGCCGTGCCGCTCCTGCTCCCCACGCCCAGCTCCACCTCCTCACAGGAGGAAGCTGAGACCCACAGGAACAAACGGATGCTGAGTCTAGACTTTGTTGTCCAGGTGACTCTCTGTTGTTCACTGTCAGAAATGAAGAGTTGTGCAGGTGTACAGAAAATCTGGAGGGAAACCAGGCTGATGTTATGGGAAGAGAGGAGGCTCTTGTCCCTGGAAGAGCCGCCTTGCTGTTGGGGGCTGGCTCTCATCTCTCGAGCAGCGATACAGGGGTAATTCTGTCCCCTTTGGAGGAAGACTTGACAGGCATCACAGGGAAAGCACACGTGATAAGTGTTCATTCTTTTCTGCCTGCCAGGCTTGAGGTTTCCTAAGCAGGTTTCCAAGAACACCATACCAGGTAAACAGACGCCCTATGGAAAGTCCACCCATCACCAAATGAACTTGAACTGTGTAGGTTCAAATAGTACCATCCCGTTTGTTTTAGTGTGATACTTTCCAGGGAAGCTTATGGTGGCACTCGAAGTTGTTGAACACGAGTTTTCACCGTTCCCCTGGCATCCACAGAGCCATGTGTGTAGCTGTGACCATGGTTGTGACTATGATTGTATTGGAGAGACAGGTTCAGGAAGCTGAGGAAGTCAGCCTGGGAAGACAGCCCTGTGTCCAGGGGTTGGTCAGGCAGTCGCACATGCTAACCAAGGATCCTGTAACCACGGTCCATGGCCAAACAATCTGGCCACTTCTGCTTTCCGGTCAGTGCCGCCGGCTCCCCTTGCCCATGGACTCTGCCTCACTGGATTCAAAACCACCTGTTTGGGTACAACCTCCATCTGCATTGGACACACATGAACTTGCTGGTCTTGTCATTACTCCTCCCAAGTAACCATTTACATAACATTTGCATAACATTTGCAATGCAGGGAATTTGCATTTTATTTGGCATTAGAAATAATCCAGAGAAGATTTAAAGTACATGAGCAGGAGGATGGCGCAGCTTCTATGCAAATATGGCACCAATTCATTTAAGGGACTTGAGCATCCCCAAATGTTGATATTTGGGGGGTGGGGTGGGGTTAGGGTGGTGGAACCAGCACGCCCTGGCTGGGGACAGGAATTGATCGTCAGAGCTGGTAGGGAGGTGTCAGGACAAGGGAGTGGATTTTCTCTGGCCCTGCCCAAAGCTTGCCGGAGTGAGCCTCCCTGTGCTGGCTTCTCTGGTTTACACTGAGCTAGCAGGGTAGGGTGATGTGTCCTGGGCATTGGCCGGGGGCAAGCCTGGTCCTCTCCTGGTCCAGACCTGCTTCTGGAGAGCCCGTATTTACTGAGCACCTACTACGTGTTGGGTGCTGGCTGCTGCAGAAGACGTGGGAAGGAGTAGTCCTCATCTCTAGGGTGTGACCGTAGGGACCCAGATGGGGACAAGGTCGGGACTTGTGAAGGTCAGGAGAGGGTGGGGGAGGGTCAGCTGGGAGGCTGGAAGTTGGCTGCCTGGAGAGCCCTGTGGACCCCTGGCCCATCCTGGAGTAGGTCAGGACTGCACTCTACTTTCCAGCACAGAACCTTCCAGATCTCCTGGAGGAGGGGACTGGGTGACATTGGAGGTCTGTCGGAGGTGGGAGGAGACTGGCTATTCCCTTGCTCCCCTGGCGATGCCCATGGTGCAGACCACCTGGCCGCCTTCAAGCTCTGGAGCCTGCCTTCTTGTGCCACCAACCCTTAGTGTTCTTCCTGTACATCTCCTGGGAGACATGGGCCTGTGGTGTCCAAGGCCAAGGTGTGGCTCTCTGCAGCCTAGCCTCCATGCCACAGTCACCAGGGAGAAGTCAAGTCACCCAGGAGGAATCCTGTTGCTTCAGCCTTCAGGACCTTGGCCCATTGAGATGAGCCGGCACTGAGACTCTGTCACAGGCTCCGACCCACGTCATCATCTCCACTGCCCTGCAGGGCAGGTGTCTTTAGCATGCCCATCTTACAGATACAGAAGTAGAGGCTCAGAGAGGCTGGGTTAGTTGCTCATGGCCACACAGCAAGTACTGGAGCTGGGTCTTGAACTTGGAGGTTCTCAGCTCTCAGGCCATGCCCTTAGCCATAGCATCATGGGATCCCGAGGAGGACGTGAGGAACTTGGCTTCCCCAGGAATCCAGGTGAGCAGGGGTGGGGCTCCCAGAGTTCAGAGAAGGAAGTTCACACGGGGATTTTCCTCCCTGGAACTCTTCCTGAAATCCTTTCCCTCTTCCTGGAAGAGGTGCCAGAGAGGGCCCTTTGCAAACCAGGGGAGGGAGGCTGCTGGGGCACCTGCTGGGAGCCGAGCCACAGTCAAACTACACTGGCTGGGACGTTTAACTGGATGGTGAACTTGAACCCATCTGACCTGTGCTCCCCCTCCCTACAGATAAACATGAGGACAAAGACTGGAAGGTCTTTGGAGACTGCCCTCCTTCCACTGCCTTGTTCCCTTTTACTAAACAAGTGGGAAACTGAGGC